AGATCTTCACAAGATGGATCCAGTCCTAAACAGCTCACACAAAGATGATCTCAGCACCTGGTCCCACATGCCTTTAATCCCAACATTGGGGGGGGGTATATAAAACGGGAGCAAGGTCTCAGTATCAGGCACTCATTCTCTAGCCACATAGAGGATAGGAGGCATTCATCCTCCAGCCACATTGAAATAGAAAACATTGAAGTCTCAGGATTCTCCAGCCATGCTGAGGAGAGGTTACAGTCTGAGGCTTGGTGGAGCCAGAATTGCCTTTCATTCAGAAGTAGAGTAAAAACTAGCGACCAACTGTTTTGTTTTTCTGATCTTCAGCTTGAAGTTTGAACCCCAATATTGGTCTCTGGGTCTTTTATTTATCATGTTACAATTTCCCTTCTGAATCTTAAGGGATTCAGAATGAGGAAGGTCCACTTTTCTACAGTTCCTTCAGACCTAATGGGGATGCTGAGCCTACCTATCCAAGTATCAAGTCTCAGCCTGTCTGGACTAAGGAGCTATATATGATCTTGCTTGGAGTTTGTGAGGTCATCATTTGAAGGGACTCTAGAAGACTCCTAGAAGACTCAAAACATCAAATCACATAAACAGTAACACATATAGTAGACTGTTATGACTAAGATTAACACTCAAAATAGCAAGGCCTCTTTATCATGTGTTAACTGTGATGTTAGTGAATGATTGAACTCAAGGCAGAGTCGGACAGACTTAATTTGGGTCTGTAAGAAGAGGGCACCAGATCTTATTATAGAGGGTTGTGAGCCACCATGTGGTTGCTGGGAGTTGAACTCATGATCTCTGGAAGAGCAGCCAGTGCTCTTAACCTCTGAGCCATCTCTCCAGCCCTGTGAGATGAATCTTAAACTGTTATTTCAGCTGCCTTTCGTGTAGCTTAAGTGTATAGTGGTAGTACTTGGAGACTGGCAGCTTGATCCTCTTGCAAGCAGCTTCTGGAGACTCGTCTTTGTACTGCAGCTGGTATGAGAGACACGAGACTAGGAAGCCATGTCTGGCTCCATTTTTCTATGTTTAGAAACTTTTTAAAGCTTTCTCAGATTTTATGTGGATTTAGGTGCCCCACATTGGTCACCATTTGTAGATGGAGTTTATCTGTGTCTAGGTGGCCACTCCCAAATAATCATTCAGAAACTTATGAGTAATTATAAATGCTCAGCCAGTAGCTCAGTCTTGTTACTACCCAACTCTTACAACTTGAGTTAACCCATTTATGTTAACCTATATTCTGCCATGTGGCATTACCTTTCTTTCATACTGCACCTCCTGTTTCCATGTCTCACTGGTGACTCCTCCACCCTTTTTATTTCCAGTGTTCTTTGTATTTTGCTGTACCATCTATACCTCCTGCTTAGCTATTTGTCCAGTCAGCTTTTTTATTAACCAATGAGAGTAATACATATTTACAGTGCACAAAGTTTGTTTCACAACAGAAAACAACAGTATTCAGTTACAAACCTAAAGAGTAAAAGTCTTATTAAAAGGTATTAAAGGTTAGAACTTCAACATTATGAATTTGGGAGATAGAATTGAGACTCTAATAGATACTATATTATGTTGTGGTTTCAAATTAATCCCCCAAAGCTCAGTGGTTTAATGCAACTGAGTTCATTTATTACTAATATAAAATCCAGTGGGTAGGGGCTGGAGAGACGGCTCAGTGGTTAAGAGCAATGACTGCTCTTCCAGAGGACCTAGGTTCAAATCCCAGCACCCATGTGGCAGCTTAAAATGGTCTGTAACTCTGGTTTCAGGGGATCTTACAGCTTCATACCAATGCACACACACAAAAAAACGGAATTAAATAATTATTTAAAAAAAGAAAAGCCTTTAATTCCAGCACTCGGGAGGCAGAGGCAGGCGGCTCTCTGTGAGTTCGAGGCCAGCCTGGTCTCCAGAGCGAGTGCCAGTCTCCAAAGCTACACAGAGAAACCCTGTCTCAAAAAAAAAAAAAAAACAAAAAACCAAAACAAAATAAAAAAAAGCCAGTGAGAGCTGAGCAATCTCCTAAGGCAGCTGCCCAATAAAGTAACTTGGCAACTCAGGCTGTTTACTGAACAGAGCTTCACAATGCTCTGGAACTATTGTGGTAGCAAAAGAGAAAGATGGAGAGTTGCAAGTGGTGCTTATATGTTCTTATCTAGATGAGCAAGTCTTCAGGATCTTGTTGCTCAACTAGCGGTGGGATATAGCACTACCCTGGATTAATTGCATAATTGCAACCAAAGAACAGATCCAAAGGGTCAATTATGTGGCACTCCCTTCTCAACCAACCCACGTTGTCTGTTTCTTTATTAAACAACGAAAAGAGAAACTAAAAAATTCTCATGTATCTAACAACAAACTTCCAAGCTGTGACCTATGCTCACCATCAGCAACTGCAAGAAATTTAGTTTTAAGACCTTAGTTGGCCTTTCAGTATTATTATATATTGTTTGATGCACAGCCTTGCTCTATTGCTCACACTGGCTTTAAGACTTGACTGAGTGATTTCCAGTCTCAGCCCCTGGCATAGCTGGGGCCACAGGCATGTACCTCCATGCCCATTTTTGTTTTATTTTTTCAATTGTAGACCAGTGCAAACACCTCATTCTAGAAGAAAGATTGTTCTGATAAGCTCAACAAAGAAATTGGCTTCATAAACACAATACAACAACAAAGGAAAGCTGCCCTGTCATCTAGGATTGGACCCCACCACCAGCCTTGAACCAAAGTAAACCTTTCCCATAAATTATCCCAGGTGTTAGACCTATGGAAAGCTGTCAAGAAAATAAGGAAATGTAGATTCAAGGGTGGCTCTTCCACATCATAGTTAAGACTTAAGTTATTCATCTCTAAATTTGTTTGCTCCTTCCTGTTATTCCTCACTCTTCAGCTGTGTTAAATGTCATTATGGTCATAGACAATTGTAGTTATTTTATCACACACATTTTTAGGTCAACTATGTAGACTAGGCTTGACCTTGAATTCATGATCTCTTGTCTAGAAAGCCTCCCAAGGGCAGAAATTAGAGGCGCCCACTCTCATGTCAACTGTAACAGCAGATTTTGTTTGCCATGAACCCTTAACTGATAAACCAGTTAGGTCATGATTAACCATTTGGAGAGGTGGTTGTGACTAGTTAGTTCTAGGGTAGCGGTCACCTGGCTCATGCCTCCCTTACCATCCCATAATCTACAATCTCCAGGAGAAGGACGGCATATCCATAAGCCCAGCAGACAGGGAGGATTAAATGCCACAAGGCTTCTAGGGCTGAGCATTTGGTCACCTCTAAAAATTCACTTATTAGCAGCTTTACAGTCTAAGTACAGGCAATTTTTCCTACTTGCATTTGTTTCCTTGTTGACAGTCTGCTATAGAGCTGTAAACTGGGGACAGGAATTTGGACTCTGGATTTGGATCTCTCTCTCTCTCTCTCTCTCTCTCTCTCTCTCTCTCTCTCTCCTCTCTCCTTCCCTCCTTCCCTCCCTCCCTCTCTCTCCTCTCCCTCTCCCTTTCCCTCCCTCCCTCAGGACTCTGAGGTTTGTTTTAGACAGACAAAGAAAGGCTTCAGAAATCTCTTAGGCAGTGCTGCTTGATTTAGGGCTCACTCTAGCTTTGCCCACATAATAATGCTTTCCAGCTCTGTAAAAAACTCACAGAAGCCTCTAGAAGCCCGAAGGCTTTGTCACTTCTTACAGTGGGATGGCGGCAGGCTTCCACACTACCGCATCAGTTACCCACTGTAGGTGTACACTATACTAATGGGAGATTAGCCCAGCCTTCTTGGAACACCTGCTGCCAGAAGGGGCAGGACGAAAGCAGCTGTAGCTGCTGCTTTCCACAGCAAATAACCGCATGGAGGAAATTCACCATTATGTTTTCTGTATGAAAGTTGCTTTCAAGATGATTTGCAGAAATGAACCTGTTTGGGCTTTGCTGAATTGATCTAGGTGTTTTGTCTCTTGACAGTTTGCTCTCTGCATAGCCAAATATGCAAAACGATCAGCATTGTGGGGAGGAACGTGATTAGCTAAACAGACCTACTTCTAGACAACAGAAAACTGTGGAGTGTTGCGGGGAATTGCTTACAGATCTGTCACGAATTAAAAAAATAATATTCTTTAATGCACCGTGTAATGAAGGTTATTGGGCAAGTAAAATTGCCAGTGGCTGAAACCGCTGCTTCTGTAAGGTGTGAGTTGGGAAAATCAGAATTGTAAGAAATAGAGCTAAGGATGAAACTCAAGAGATAGCTTCTGAGAGAATCCCCGAGTCCAACCAACAAGAACGGGGCAGGGAGAAGTCACAAAGAATACCACTCTAGAAGTATAATCAGGGAAGAGTTAATGTGGACAAAGGAGAGTCAAATAGTCACTGACAAATACATGTTTGTAAGTCATGAAAATTATAATTTTATGTTTACGTATCCATACCATATACAATCTATTTCTAGGTTAGGGAGAGCAAAAAGAAACAACAACAACCACAAAACAAAAAACACAACAAAATCCCTGTTCGTCCATACAAACAAATGTTTTATCGCTTAGTTCCCGGGCCTGCCACTTCCATTTGCTAGCTTCCCGCACCGGAAGGTTTCCCTTCCTCTAGGCCGAGAAGGTGAAGCCGGGCGGAGTCTTAGAGCAGCCTCACCTAGCGCGGCGGGCGTCCTCACCAGCGTCGGGCTTGTCGCCCAGTGGGCCTCCGCCGCCCCACCTCGTCAGCGCCCCGGGTCGCCCCAGCAACGCTTTTGCCTGGGGCGCGACGGGCACGTGACCGGCGCGTCACGTGACCGGTCAGTCGGCGTCCTCTCGCTGGGTGGTGCAGG